CTTTGAAAAGTCTCTCCCTTGTTAAAGTCTCTCCCTTGTTAATGCGACATCGACAAAACAATAAAGCAAAAGCATATCTTAAAGCAAGAAGATACCTCTTTAAACTTTAGACAAGAAAGTAGCTTTAGCCTAGTACATAGCACACTATAAAATTAATTTATTTTGGAAATATTGATAGAACAAATACTTTATAATGTTTGAATCGTCCTTTAGAGCATCTGCATTGGAGACATTTTGTATGTGTCTTTAAATATAAAATTATTAAAAGTTGAGTAAAAAGAAAAAAGAGTGTTTTTGGTTAAAATAATGGGGTGTATTGAAATATAAAATTAATAAAATTTGAGTAAAGAGATRAGATAGTGGRTATTATTGGAGAGAKRATRTCTYBGRGAAGACAAAGTTGGAGAGAAAATTGATGAAAGTTGGAGTGTGTTTAAATATAAAATTAATAAAAGTTGAATAAAAGGATGAAAGAGAAAGTATAAAGTTGAGTAAAAAGAAGAGAGAGTGTATTTTTAATATTTTTTTATTTAAAGACATCCACATTTGATCTCCAATGTGGATGGTCTTAGTTAACCATAGAGACTTTATTTATTTATTTTACAATCCCCACTGAATTTTGTTTTTTGGTTCTGAACCCACTGAATTTATATTATATTATTATGAAGTCCCTCCATTACTCCAAAGATACACTAAATCGTCTTTATTGTCGGTATTACATTTACAAGTCTATATAAGTCACTCATGTATCCCTTTTTTCAACTCATCAAATTAAAAWCACAAAAAAAAAAAGAGAAGAAGAGCTTCAATCTTTGTGATCATATCAATATGGAGAGCAAAAAGGATAACAAAGATGAGAAATCTTCATTTTATGATACCGCAACGAAAGCTGTAGGGGTCGCTGGAGCCGTTGCAGCATTCGCCGGTCTAGCCTTTTTGAGCTTCGCCTCGAGCTCCGAAGAGAAGAGACAGGAAGAGAAGATGATGAAGGCTCCTGGGGCCGATGGTTATATTCCCAGGGCACCTTTCGAAGCCAACCCGAAAGACTACTTCAGGGACCAGCGTGAGCGTAATAGGAAATGAAAATATGAGAGAGTATGTGGAAGTTTTTTAAAATTTCCGGCTTTGTATTCTATATAGCTAAAATAATAAAACGTTTGCATATGTCGTTTACCGATATTTGTTATTTCAATTAATTATCGTTATAATAATATGTCGTTTATGTATCATGTTTCTTTTTTTTTAATAAAATGTATATGACGATGTTGTTATATGTGGATTGATATATATTATATGTTTAAGTAAGATTGAAAAAAAAAGACGAAGCACACATCAACGGATCTATAGCTTCCGATGTCAACCAAAACTCAAATCAAAACTCGGTCTCCCAATCAATCGGTGAAAGCAAAAGAGAATCAAAGGAATCGAACGAAAATCGGTGAAATTGATATCCGAATCTGCATGAAGAGACGATGAATTGATCTAGAATCACCGGCGACAAACGCGGAAACGAAGCGGAAGACCCATCAAAACC